TTTTGATGAAATTGTGGTGATGATATCCATTCTCTTGGAAGACAGTTAGTAGGTATTTTTCTTCTATTCTTTTCAACCTTGTTGTAAACAGCTGACAAGAGATACTGACGATATAAAATGAAACCTGATCAATAAGTTGGTAGTGGTTTTTTATTTATTTATTATTATTGTTTCTTTTAATTCCTAGAGGAATATAGGGCTTCAGGTGCACGTCTCCATTGCATTCGGTTCTCTGCTAAAGTTTTCACCTGGCTCCAGGTCTGTCCATTTGCGTTCATCTCCTCTTCAAATCACCTTCTCCAAGTCACTTTTGGACGATCAACTCGGCCAATCCACCTACATTTCTTCCTGCTTATTTGCTGTACAATTGGTTCCTACTGGGTTAGTTCGTTCCTACAGATCCCTGGTGCTGATCTTTTCTGGCCGGCCATCTGATCTTGAGTATTGAACGAAGACAACTGTTAATGAAGGTAGTAGCACTGACTTCACATTCGAGTTGAAAATCCGGATTTTGTTTTTGATGCTGAGTGTTGTTGACCGCCACACAAACTTGAGAGTAATGAAAGCTTGATTTCTTTGCTTTTCCGATCCTCGCTTTGACATCCTCGTCAGTTCCGCTGGCCTGTAGTTGAAACGAAGCTTCCCATGTAGGTAGGTAGGTGAAGGAGGTTGAATCTTTCAGGTTCCTCTCATTTATGCTGGCTGATTGTTGTCTGTTGTTGGTGGTGTTGCCCAGGAGTCTTGAAAATATTCAATTAATTTTTAGATCAGAAAAAGATGGTGATTTTGAGAGAGAATAGTCGTTTCTCGATAAAATCTTCCCTAGGCTATACAGTTATAAATCCATCAATCCATTAGAATACAAATAGCATAGCCAGACAATAAAGCCACGTGAAAAAAATGATATTAGAAACTCTAGTATTGGAGTTTATGTATACTATGGAATGATAGTTCGTTAGTTAATATTGTCAACTGAATGTCTGTCAAATGTGTATAGTCAGTCATTCAAAACATGAAATAAAAATATGTGAATCGATAACTATGATGACATATATTAATGTTGCATTTGTACTCAACAGAATGTAAGTTTCATTGGGGATGGGGGTAGCGGAGAGTGATGAGTTATATTGAGTGGTGTAACAGAGATATGATTACTTGCGTAGAGAATTTCATCATGAGCTGACATCAGTTAAAGAACCATTGGAAAACCAGCACGAGGGAGTACTTGATAGCTGTTTCGTCAACCCGGTTTGGGACTCTTCATCCGTACACACCCCAACCTATATGGGGTTTGAACCCAGGATCTTCTGGCTACAAGGCGAGCTCGTAGACCATTGAGCCACTAACTAGGACCCAATTCAATGGTTCTTGAGTTCTAACTTCTGCCAAATCACAACATAGCGCGACCATTTCGCAATGCTGAAGAGTCCCAAACTAGGACGGTGGAAACAGCTGTCCAGTACTCCCAACTGGTTTTCCAGTGGTTCTTTAAACTGATGTCAGCTCATGATGAAATCCTCCATGCAATCAAACAAAAATTCCTACAAAACCAATTCTTGAAAATATGATTGCCACAAAATACAAAGAACCAAATACCAACGAATGGCAAACACTGAATGTAAGTTCAAGTAAGGGCTGACAAATATCAAGTATAGCGATAAAATAAAGAGGTTAAACTGTGAACTATAATAAAATATTAGAGACATAATAAGTTTAGTTTAAACTATAAAGGGGTTGGCACTTAATAAGGGTTATGGTGGTGGAAAATAAACTTAGTAAAAGATAATAAGAAAGGCATGAATGATATGTACACTGAAAGTGTCTTTCTGACCAATAAGCCATTGAGACTGCAAGTACTTATCGGGTCCAGAATTGCTTAACTTTCTTAGGCGGATGAGAACCATTGTTTTCAACGTGGTATGGTCACCGTTGAGAGAACCTCCAAAAGGCTTACGTTGAGGCTGAGGAGGAGGAGACCTTCGAATGACATCTGGTTCCATACTGCAGATCAAACGGTCAGTCGGCCGGCCGGCCGGCCAGCCAGAAAGATTTAGCAACAAGAAACTCTGGCTGGTTGGCTGGCTGGCGATGAATCAACCGAAAGCCAACTCCTCAACAAATATGTAGGGGATAAAATGGAGATGGACAGAGCATACGCCACTGAGGAAGCCGTCGAATGACATTGTGCGCAGTTCATGTCATGTTTCCAGTGGAATCTTAATTGGAAGTGACGTGAGAGGGTGACTTGGAGGAGAGGACCAGAGATTATAGGCAATCGTGGACCCATTGAATTGGATTTTTTTGATTTTCCCGTCGATTGATTGGACCCCGAAGTGCTCGGTCTCAGGTTGTGCAGATGCTTCGACGATGTCTGGGCATTTAGTTAGGATAACGCTTTGGCGTTCGAAACTATGGGTACTGGGTTCGAGCCTCGGTGGGAACATCATCACTCACTGAGAAATGCAGGTACATCCAGCTGGTGGACGAGTCCCAAATAGGACGAAATGCGCGTTATCCTGGATTCCACTGCTAGTCACCATCCACCAATTGAATCGTGGACCCAGTTGAGGAGGACAACAGAGAAAAGACCAAAGTGGAGATGTTTTTTGTTGAAACCCTGTGTTCCACTTGGAACCCAAGGGAATAATAATAATAATAACATAACATAACATAACAATTTCGCTTTATTCCAGAAACAGTACTTGTGGTACAGTGTGGAATTTTCAGCACATATCTACAATATTGCATCTAATTTCATCGTACATTTAAAAGGAGTATTATAAAAAAATAAAATATATAAAAAATACAACAAAAAACCAAAAAAAACAGAAATAACAAAAAATGCAAATAAAAATACCAAGTAAAAAAGAAGACGAACACAAATAATGAAAAAAATATTTCAGTATTAGTTAGTGGAAGCTACGATATGTGTATGCGTGGTGAACAGTAACAGCTATAATCATACGGGAAATTATGAGATGTTCTTAAAAAAATGTTTATAGCCAAGATGATCAGTTAATTTGATTGAACAACACTAAGCAATCATAAGATAAACATTTCAGGTTGTGTTTTTTTATTGTCAGCACTAATGCGGTTGTTTGTAGTGGTAGTGTGAGGAATCATGCATAATACAAAATTTTTTAAGATGGTGATAGTGGCAATAACAAACAAGATTGTCAGTTAAATAGTGCCGAACAAAGAACAACCACAAAACTAATGTTACATGATGGTTAATGACGGGACAATTTTTAATAATCATAGTGATAATATAGTCGGACCCAGTAGATGTACAAAGAAGGAGTAGAATAAAGAATAAAAATGTAAGCCAATGATAATAATTTTAAGCAGCTAAGTATGTTTAAGAAGGTTGTTCACTATAGAGTACAAATAAGAGAGTGTAAGGGGGAAAAAACAAGGGCCAAAATTCTGTTATTAACAACAAAGCAAGTCATAGGTTTCACGTCTAACATTGTCTCTGTCACTTAGAACACGGGCCAAATATGGTATCGTTGAGTTCCTATACTTGGTTGTGCGAGCATATATTATTTTATACTGATTTCTGGTTCTACTTGATGAGATGCAGGGAGAGAGTTGGGAATAGAGGGGGTGTTGGGGGTCAGAGAGTATGGTTTTAGACCATTTCTCACATGTATTCAGATGCTTATCCACTAATGTTGTGACGAGCTGACTGAGTTTTACACCGCTAGTCCTGCTAACTACCTTCAACATCCTTCTCAGGATGGTATAATCCTTTTTCAGTAACCCAGGAAAGACTAACGGGGAACAGTAAAGTAGAATAGGTAGGATACGAGAGTTGACAAATTGTGTAAGCAGAGGTTGAGGGACTCCAGTTAGTCTGAGTTTCTTAATGTAGTAGGTTAGACGAAACACTTTCTTGGAAATCATTTGGATATGAGATGACCAAGTAAGGTCGGAAGATATAACTAATCCGAGGTATTTTGCATTAGACTTTGTTTCAATTATAGTCCCCTCGATTCTACAGACATCATGAGTGCTTACTAGTGTTTGTAGATCTCGTTTATGCCTAAAGGAGAAGTCGACAGTCTGGCATTTTGAGGGATTCAGCGTTAGGCCATTTATTTTAGACCACTGACTGATGTCCGACAGGAAGCTATTTAATTTGAAGCAGTCTGACTGAGACTTAACGGGAAGCGAAACAGTCAGGTCATCTGCATATTTGACGAAGTTGATTTCGTCTGAGAGAGGTAAGTCATGTAAGAAGAAGGAAAAGAGAAACGGCGAGAGAACAGCACCCTGAGGAACACCAGCTTCAGTAAGCAAAGGAGAGGAAGCTACACCATTATATATCGTGTACTGCATCCTATTGGAGAAGTAAGAGTGCAGCCAGTTGATAGCCCAGGACTCAGTTTGTGTAAGGCTAAGCTTGTTTAACAAAAGGCCTCTAGGTACAGAGTCAAAAGCAGATGTGTAATCAAGGAAAGTACAACGGACATACTTGGCCCCTTTGTCTAAGGAGGATACAATGGAAGTCAAAATACCTTGATAGTAATTAGTTGAAAAGAAGGTCAAAAGTAATGTGGACATTAAAAAGGAGCTGTACATAATCTCGTCACTTTCGAGTGAGATGAAATGCACGATCATTTGCTAAGCTACTGAACACACACACGGTGGGATTTAAGACATACATATGTACGAAGTATAAATCTTCCAAAAATTCATTTGAAGTTTTTCAGACAATGGATACGCGTCGATGATTTAGACGTAGAATGCTCATCCACCAACCCCACACGTAGTCTGGAGTTCGATTCTCAGTCGACACACTCCTAAACCTCCTCTAACCGATAGTCAGTGTCTTAAATAGGGAAAGTGATTAGGCAAGAGGCTAGTAACCTCACTCCGTAAAAAAACACGATACTGAAAGTTTGTAACTTGTAACGTGAAGGAATGAAGAAACCGGCAAAAAATATCAAGAACTAATATCAATGAAAAAAAAGACAACACTTTTAAATTATGCTTACTTTATTTCTTTGATTATTCTCTGAACTGTCTGACATTTGAAGACGACTGAGTTCATTAGCTTCTGATCCCTGTAAAGTAATTAATAGAATAACTTATTTTGTACCCTGTACCAGAATACATGTTGAATTAACAAAACTGACCGAGTTAAAATTTTTACGTACTACTAACTAACCACCCAATGGAGCGCGACCGCACCAATGACCTTGAAACACTCACTGAGCAAATTAGTGAAACCTGGCAAATAAATAATGTTGTCATCATCAATAAAATATGCTCATCGAAATGTTATGTTATCTATTATATGGGATATCTGGCAAGTTTCAGCTCAGTTTTGGGAAAGATTAAGTTACGCTTTAAGCAAAGGACAAGTTAGGGTTGTTTCGAGTTAGATTACAGCTAGTTTAAAGATGTTTTCACGTTAGGGTTAAGTTCAAGAGAGATTAGAGTTATTGTTAGGGTTAGAAGACCTAAATGATTTTTTTTTCGCCTTCACGTTCTCAGTGGAGCGTAAGGGTTCAACAAGCTAGTGGCTTGAAGTTTCTGTAGCAATGTTTATTTTTACAGGATGGGGTTGCTAGCCAGCTTCATGCCCGACCTATCCTCTTTACCAACCTTATTTCTGACTTGGAGAGATAAAGGAATGCGTCGGCCGGGGATCGAACCCTAAATGATTACATGCATAGAAATGTGGTTGAATTACTCCTGTTGATATAAGAATAGTACCTGTGCACTGTGGTAAATTATAACTTCATTGAGGGTAAAATTCATTTTGATAAAGTCTGACAGTGTTATACAGTAATATTTACTGATGACCACTTTTCGAGCACAATATATACTGTATAACACTGTGTGAGACTTTATCAAAATAAATTTTACCCATAATGAAATTACTCTCTGTTGATACTCCAACCTAAAACTGAGGGCTATTTTTATCCCATATGAGAGGGAGGTATCCTCTGTAACACTTTTCTACAATTTTTTATGCATTTTTTCATAAACATATGTATTCTATACACAAAAATGCCTCCTTCACGAGATTGTTGCTTTCGAGATCATACTGAAGGTCAAAAGAACAATGAAGATCACTAAACCAAAGAACGGAAGTAATAGTACATCTGCTATGGTATCAAAAAAAAGTTTACTATGATAAGCTTGGTGTACTGATGAATTGTTGCTTTGAACGCATAAAGGTGGTTTAAACTTCCTAATTGCTATCTAGAAAATTCCACAAAACTTTAGGATACGCCATTCCCCAAACACCATTTTATGGATGGATAGGTTTAAAAGATGTGTGTAAACATAAATTTCATGTCTTCTCTCATCTATAATATGTTTCACAATAGAGGAGCTAGGTCGTCCATTCTCACCAATTAATGGGTTCTGGGGATTCTATTTGCTTCTGAAGCCATTTAGGAATATGCTCTGAAGCCAGCCTCTACTTGTAGAGATCGATGAGTCCTCCGTATGTATGTATGTGTGGCCACACGTACATTCAAATTGATAAAAATACAGTGGGATGTGACATTGTTTTTCTTATGTTCAAAGGGCTTAGATGGGTATATTGGCTTATACGTCGACTGTAGGATAAGGAAGGTAAGCAAATCAATGAGATTCTGTAACAAGCTCCATTGATTAAGGTGGATAAGTTATGTTTTAGTCACACTCACCTCCACTGCCTTACTCGATGGTCAGTCACGCACCTGAAGTCGGATTCCATCACGAAACAGTCTTCCAGTGGTCATACAACATAACATCGAGTTACTTATTGAAGTCATTGACTATTAATTTGGGCCACATAGAGAGGTATAGCTCGCCTAAGTGAAGTCATTAGAAGACTAACAGTCAACAGATACAGACTCTTAGTGACATATCTTACAGGTGCCGCAGATGTATTCACTCGTCAACGAAAATCCAAGCACATTCTCACCATCACCTATTACAACAATCTTTCGATACACAGCATGATTAGGCTGTACTGACAGAAAATGTCTCTTCACTTTCTCATAGTATGAGGGTTTATGCACACGTAAAAACAATAAATACAAGACCAAGGATAACTTCAGTCTAACGATCTTACTGAATATGCATTCAAACAAGTAATCTCAGTGCCAAACGCTAAACGTCACTTATCCTAAAGACGTTTGGCACTATCTCTATTCCAATGAAAAGAAATCGGCATATTATCTCGAAATTTTCAGAAAATCGTCAAAAATCCTCAGTAGATTATTAACAGCTTTCTGCAGACTAAGCGACACAGGAATGGCGATCAGAAAATACTTCAATCGAAGTAGCACCCGTAGAACTCGATGAGCCTGGTAACAGAAGGGAACACAAAAGTAGGTCATGCCAAGAGGAAATCAAAAGTTTGTCGGCAGTGATGCATCCGACTGAAAGTGAAGACAGTGCAATCCAAATGTGTCTCTCAGGTCCTATTTTCCATTCTAAACACAAGGAGTGAATTACCTATACAAATAAAATACAAGTTTATTGGTCAACCCTCATCTTTCTCAACTGATAATCAATGATATCTTGGAATGGACACTGATGATCAGGAGATATTACACGTTGTGGTGAGTATGTCGACTACTTTGCCCATTTTGGGCACTTGTGTCAGTTCCCCTAATGTACTGATGACTGACGAAATTTCAGCATGGATATAAGAGGCGTGTGTGAAGTCAGACGTCATATCCAATCATGGATTAAAGGATGCGTATTTACCGTGCACTACTTCGTTATGTGCTTCTTTTTAGAGCCAGCGAAACATAACCGCTGAAAGTAGAAGTAATGAAAGAATAGCTGTTTTCGCTTTCTGTCTCGCCTATTAACTGGTATAACATCTTGAGAAATATTGAGGTTAGGTGGAGAGTATTATGTTAGAAAGGGAAGACTGCCAGTGAGCTTTTTGAAGGCTACATCAATTGAGATGGTTACGACTGGCTGACTGACTGACTGATGGGTTTCATCATCGAACTTCGCACTGATGTACAGCAGTTCAAGTCACCACATTTTACTCAGCACACAAAGCAAGAGAAGAACGTAAAAAGAAATGCAAAACAGAAACAGTAAACAGAGACATAAGTCAAAAGGAATGGAAATATTGAAGAACTATATAGTTTTATTGGGTATTATAAGTCACAAGAAGTGGATGCATCTGCGCCAGGCCAGCCATTGAGAACGATCACTTTGAGCCATATCACCAATTTTCTCCAACCATGGGTGTTTACCGTCCCGAGGACCTCCTAACCAGAAAGTCTACACCTCCCTACATAGCTTAAACTAAGTGTCGTGGTTTTCATTGACTGGTGAGGCCATGTTTTCGTTTGACCATCACTGATGCTTTTCTAACCTGACCAGTCCTATGTCAGCTAACATTGCCCGTCGAGGAAGGCGATGGCTAGGCTAGGCATACGTAACACATGTAGCCTCACAGTCTCATTGATTGATTTCCTCTCCTCAGTTGGTGCTTGAGGCCTAACCTCAATATTGTTTACGAGGTTACTACACTTGTTGCGCATCCGAAGCCCCTACCTTCCTCAACGAGAATTGTTATATAACATAAGATTATCTTGGGAAAAAGTAAGGAGTGATTAAATCAAAACCCTGCATCATTGACACTAAGTTTGAGCAATACAGTGAGGTGTAGACCACTCGGTTAGGATCCTCCATAGTTTACGGAGCAATGTGTCTGAAGACCATTTGGTGATGTAATTCAAAATCGTTTTCAATGACAAAAATACAAACATTCACTCTTCATGATCTGCGATATACATTAAACCCAAGTGTGTCTTTTCAAGTTATTCTTCTTTCAACTTCACATTTCTTGAACACACAGACTGGTGCACTTTCATGTGATATTCCCCACTGATATTCAGTCAATCAACCAGTTAAGTCAGAAATCAAAGCGAAATAGCCTTTAAAAGCCAACGAATTTCAAAAATAAAAGTATTACAAAGACATAGAAACTGTTCCATCGATGTTGAAACACTGAAAATAGTCTAACTTACTGATTTATCCGATAAGGAGCTTTCAGGACTCATTGAATTCGACAGACCATCACTACCACTTCCACCTCTTGTTGTAACTACTAATGATGAATTTGTTTTATGACATTCGCGTCGAAGATAAGCATGATCTGGTGGTGTCCAACTCCCCGGATTACCACCACTACCACAACCGCCAACACCACCACCACCTCGGACAATTGCATCAATATTGTTATTATTATTATTATTATCATTGTTATCATCACAATAATCTTGTTGACTACCACCAATCATTATCATTCTTCCTTGATCATAGTGACTAGTTGATCCTTGATAAGTTGTTAATGATCCACACGAACGATAACCATCAGAACTTTTTGAACTAGCATAGGTATGATTATTATTAACATTATTATCAGTATTATTATTATTATTGATTTTAATGGATTTTTCCATTTCAAATTGATCCGTTGTCAGTGGTATTAACCTGTTGTTTGTCGTCGAATTTTGTTGGTAATTATTAAATGGCGGTGATGGGCTTGAGGAGGAGTTGGGAAAATTCTTGTACTTCTCCATACCAGATTGGACAGTTAACTCTGACGGTGCTCTTGTACTTGAATTCTAGGTAAAAAAACAACAACAAACAAACAAACGCAAACGTCGAAGGGGAAAATGTTTTCAGAGTAAGAAAGCATGTGATAGATTGAAATGGTTGAAAAAACATATTTTGTTTGCATAAAACCTTGAGGTTAAATTAACACTCATTACCAAATTGAAATCTGCATAGAAAAAGCACTTGGACAGGACAATATACACATTTTCATGGCTTCGTTCCTCTCCAGTACATAAGAAATTTAATCAAGACCCTCAGCCACAGAGTTAGAGCTATTTGCTGAGAAGAAGTAATTGAAGATGATTTAAGCATTATATATGATACTTTGATCGAAAATAGCCATCCTGACAAATTTATCAAAGAACACATGACAAAGAAAGCGGAAAAGGACTACTCACTATCTGTAAACAAGAAGCCTCTTTATATACGACTGAAATTCAAGGGTGATATACCAAGTGAAATAATTACGAAGAAATTAAGAAAATCAGTTCAAAGAACTTTTATCGCCGAAGAACTACAAGTCGCATTCTCTACACGACAGATAGTGCTACCTCGACTGAAAGATGAAGTACCTAGACTAGACTAGCCACTTCAAATTGTATCTACTAATTCAACCGCGCATGTGGTGGAGCGAGTTATATTGACCGTTGCTTTAGGGACCTGATTTTTGGTGCTCTCTCGAAAACATATCACACTTTCGCTAAGAAAAGGTGTAGTTAAAACTATCAACAGTTCAATATTAGACCATCTGGTGCAAACTGGCCACAAAGCCAACCAGAACTGAAGAATCCTTCTCTATCATTTACCGGGTGACTAATAAATTCCCAAAATCATCGAAGCACCGCATGCTCCTAACAGCAGAGGCGATCGCAATTCGCCTCAAACAACCAGTGCTCTGTGTTCAAAAGAAGGAAGTCCAGCTCCTACTACTGCCCTGTCTGATCGTCAGTAGAGACTATAAACTCATGAATTTGTATTATTATCTTTCCTAATTTTTCTGACATTCAGCTTATTTTATGTTGATGCTATTGAGCTGTAATCTATCAATTTTATTGATTCGATGTTATTTAAAGAACAACATTAATGTTGTTCATAACACTAATTCATTCATTCACTATAATGTATATATAGCTGTAAAGCCTTATGAAGAATAGGTTATCGAAAAGAGTACTCTTTGTTCAGTATCCATTCTTTTTAAAATTCTAATTTGATTACGAACTAACTGACTTCAGGTTTGAGAATTTTTGAAAACCAACTCTGAGTACTGTTTAATTGTTTGTCGACTCTTTTATATAGTACACACACGTATTCATTACCTTACTGCCGGGGATCGAACTTCAAGTACCTAGAGGTCATAAGGAGAGTTTATTGATCATTCATAGACACCAAAATAGAATTCAGTGTGACCAGTTCATGAATTCTAACTTCTACTAATCACTTAAACTGACTACAGGATGATATCGTCTAATGAAATTCTATTGAGTCGTTGCGTGGAACAAATACTCTGCAACAATATTTTGTTCTAGTGTTCATGGTAAATATCTCAAAGTAGAAGAAAGTTAGAATTCATTGATATTTGTGTAAAACTTGATCACTGTGGTAGTAAGTAATTCCATATCAGTTTGTTTAGTAGATTTATCACACACACACTGCGTGAAACAGTAGTGTTTACTGGATGGCAGAGCACAAAAACTAAGTAGAACCAAGGAAAATCTAAGACAGGAAGTGATACACATAAAAGAAGCCTTGAAACATAATAATTACCCGGATAAATTATTCAGGAAATATGTAAGGAAATGTAAAAATAAAATAAGTAATGATAGTAGTGATAGTGGTAATAATAAAAGTAATATTAATGACGACATGCATATCAAATACGCGCAAGACAACACCAAAAATAAGGAATCTAAATCATCAGTAGTAATTCCATACACTGTGCGTCAGTGGCACAGTGGTTAGGACATCTCGCCGACCATGCACATGGTTCGGGGTTCGATCCCACGCCAACGCACACCTGATATCTATGGCCGGCCTGCGAATTTTCGGGGCTACCGATATCCATGCTGAAAATTCCACACTTGTACCAAAAATATGGTGTGGAGTCAAGCTGTAATCAAAAATAAAAATAAAAAAATAGAAGGAACTTCGGAAACCTTACGCAGAATTCTTAACAAGGCAAGAATAAAAGTGGCATTCAAACCCACAAACTCAATTAGAAAACACTTTTTCGGTGAAAGGATCCTGCCAGTGGGGCTTTTAGAACAAAACAATTTAGTCTATCTAATACCCTACCTACAATGAATGTCAGGTCAGATACATAGGTCAAACTAGTAGAACAGGGGCAGTCAGACTAGCCGAGCATAAAATCCTAGTAGCGAAATCTAGACTGGTTGACCAGAATAAGATAAGAAATCTAGAGAAGAGTTCAGCTATAGCAGTACGCCACATGCAGTTACACACAACCATACAATAGGATGATGGGGTAAGATGAAAGTTTTAAAATCCAATATAACAGCAGAGTGGGGGGAGAGATTGATAACAGAAGCTTTGCTCATCCAATCACCTGAAAATACGTGTAATAGGAATGATTCAACACCTGTCCAGCCAGATATCCGGAAAATTCTACTACTCATACCAAAAATAGGAGAAGACAAAGAAAACTATAAAACTCAAGTTTTGATGTTGTGTGATTATAATTGATAATATGGTTATGAACAGCAATACATTGTGTTCAAAACCTTGTCATCCAGTAAATGATACTGTTTCACTCTGTGCGTCATATATCTAAATAAACAAACTAATACTGAATTAGAATTTATTGGCTAGTCATTGGATTCTGCATTAATGACTGACTTGAATGTCATGGAATTCGATCCCCTGACATCGGTTCATGATAAAATCTAACAAGTGAAATAGGCTATTCTAGTCTCATGATTCATCCCTTTGGATTTCAAATGCAACACAAAGGGCTTCATGAATACAAGAAGGCTTTTCAGCCTGTGTCTTCTGCTGATTTTAAAGTTAATTCCATCGTTTCGAACACAAGAAATCATTTCCTATTCACATGATTTCTTTTGTGTCTCCCCCACTGACCTACACACCGAAACTTGTCTCAGCTTTCCCCCAACGGGCTCCACTCCATGGTCTCCTTATGCGTTTGTTTTATCAACTTCCATTTCCTTCAGCCTATTTGTTCTGCAAAAGGTTCTTGGTTTATTCGTTCCCACAGTTCCTTGTTGCTTTCTCCTTTCTGTTCGGCTGGAAACCAGGTTTTTTTTAGTATTGAGACAGTTTACTTGCCTGTCCGGAAAAGGTGAGAAGTTTTCATTAGATTGTTTGTAGGGATTTGATTTGTTTCATTCAAGTGTGATCAAGGACTGATATCAGTTAGTTAGAGAATCACTAAAACCTAAGGAGTACTAGAAAACTCTTTCGTCCTACACCTTGGCGGCACTCATCATCAGTACGCGCACCCACTGAGTTTAAAAACAAATCAAAAATCCCTACGACAAACAAACTAATGTGATGCTCGCTAGTGACTGACACCAACCGGATGAAGTTGACTGGAGTGGGTTCTAGTGCAAAAAGCATGACCAGTGGATTCCACAAAGTCGTCGAGATTGAGGACAAACACTCGCGTCAGTAGTGATATTCGCCTGGCAGTAGGTATGTACTGCCAATGGCTCCCGAACCAGGAAGGAAACAGTTGGCTGTCGTCCAGTACTGTCTGATTTTCAGTTTTTCTCTCTAACTAATATCAATCCGTGATCAAACTTGACAAGTAAGAAGTTTTGACGTGGAGGTAGTCACCCTCCCTCCCCCCTGAAAATCGATCCAATCACTATAAAAGCAGTTCCAAAGGGCAGAAATAAAGTTTTGTTGTATACGGAAGAATAACAATAATAATAATAATAATAATGATAATCGTGGTATACTTTATCGAAAATTAATTCCCATTTTCGTTTTAAAAATCAAAAAAAAAGAACAATATATTTAGAGCGAACAATTGTTTTCAATAAATTCTTCTTCAGGCTCTACAATTATAAATCCATTAATGTAAGCATACAATAGCCAGTAAAGGCGAATTAGAATCATATCAGAAAGTGTATTGTGGAACAAGTATAAGATGGGATGAAACAATAGTCATATAGTTTTTTAATATGCATGGTCAATAACAACATGGGACAGAATGAGATGAAATAATTTAATGATGTGTGTATATATATAAATATAGTTAACAGAAAATACAGGTTTCGAGATGAGTGTAATCAGGTGTTGAGCAATATGAAAATAAACCAACGAATGGGGTGGTCTAGACTTAAGTTCAAGGTTGAAAATAACAACAATAAGAATGATGTAAAATAATAACGATGATGGTGTAAATTAAAATTAAATGTACTATTGATTGTCAAATAAAATATGAATATATAAGTGGAATGAACAGGATTTTTAAATACGATAGCAAGTTAGAAAAGCACTATTTAAACCTAAGGTAATAAAATCATAAAAGTCGAAAATCGTGTCATAAACTTGACCAAGCGTTCTCAGTTATTTACCGCGTTCCTAGTAATTTATTAGAGGAGCTCGACTACGTCTTCTATCAGTAGCTGAGCAGTTGCAATTAATCCAGAAGACCACCTTGATACAGAAGAAGTATGTTCATGTTTACCGGCCTACAATAAAGCCAACAAATCCTCCATTAAACTATAAATTCCTTTCCATTTTCTTTTCTTTTCCTTCTTCTATTCCTCTGTTTCATGACAAACGTTCATTTCGACTTTTATGATTTCATGACCTTTCTTATGATTTATTACCTTAGGTTTAAATAGTGCTTTTCTAACTTGCTATCGTATTTACAAAATCCTGTTCATTCCACTTATATATTCATATTTTATTTGACAATCAATAGTACATTTAATTTTAATTTACACCATTCATCGTTATTATTTTACATCATTCTTATTGTTGTTATTTTCAACCTTGAACTTAAGTCTAGACCCCCATTCGT